CGTCGTCGTGATGTCACTCATGCTAACGCAAACATAGATGCATGTCCGTACACCCATTGAGGTACGCAGACACACATACACACGCGCTCGTCCGCCGGGGATCATACAGACATAAACGTATGTAGACAGTATGGGACTTGACATATGTATGTATATGTGTGCTGTTGTCTACATACATACGCATTTGGTTGCTGAAATTCAAAGATGGGATGTGTAGAGAATATTTCTCGTGAATGTATACATGTTAACAATCAGACCATTTTCCTATTCTTTCGATGAATAATGTTTCCTCGCACGCACGTATATACCTGTGGTGGGGTCTGTGTAAAATTATGATAGGTAAAAATTGATATTATTTTTAATTATTCAAGGTTGATTTGTCATTATTTTAAAGCTGGTTATTTGCTTGTTTTTGATTGCGTATATGTAACTTGAAGAAATTGCAGTTCGTAATCCTTATTAGATTTTATATGGTGGTATTGTGGCACCTTGCATTATTAGAAATATTCATAGAAATATGATTTAATTTTTTTTTACTCGGTTTATTAAACAGGTTGTTGATTTTTTTTAAAACGGAAAATAATTGAGTTGAAAATAATTCACTAAGATTGTACTTGGACGATCCTAAGGGAAGAAGAGGAAAGAAAAGAAAAAGAGAAGAGAGAGGAAGAGGGGAAAAAAGAGAGAAAGAGGGTTGGATGATGCATGACCCAGTCAATGGTGGAGGTAGGAGTCAGAAAGATATCTTAGCTAGCATGTTGACCGAATTTTTTAAAGACAATTGGAAGAATAGAATTAGAAATAATAAAAAGAAAGAAAGGGAAAAGACATGATATCAAAACGGGCCGCTTGATGAAAACCAGATATCGGTCAAAGCATCTAGCCTACTTTTGCGTAGAAAGACTCATTATCAATTTGGAGTAAAGGGAAATTTTTAAGAACAATGAGAACGAAATCTTAATCAGAGAAAAAGTGTTTTTGGGTTGAGGGGAGTGACCGGTGGAACTATATACAGATCCTGACCTATTAAGAATTGGAAACCTACGATAATAAAGTGGGAACATTTTCAATGTAGATAATTAAGATTTTCTGACTGTCGGGTCTGACAAAGACGGGA